AAAAGGCATTACAATGGAGACTATAGGCAACTTTCAGGCGTGGGTTTAGGGTTTAGGGGTTGAGGGCAGACTTCGTGGATACACGACTAACCGATGAGGTAGAGAGACGGGTGGGGCATGCAGATGAAGATGGATGCCGGACCCTGTGTGCCTAGTATAGAAGTCTCAAGGAAATTTCCATATTCAGAAATTTATTCGGGTCCCTTATTTTTCCTAAAATTACAACCTCCCCCAAGATCCGGCTTGGACTATGTACGCCCGTTCCTATGCTGACATCCAAAAACGTCCTAACCCCAAACCCTAGACCCTAAACCCTAAACCCTAAACCTTAAACCCTAAACCCTAAACGCTAACGCTGGGTAGACTCCTTTGCTGGACCCCTTGCACCTTAAGGCGACGGCTCGCGGTGGCATCGGAAAATATCACCATCCGACGGGTGGCGGTCCGACAGACAAGGCCCTGAGGGAACTCGTTGGGTTTCGGGGTGGGGCTTAGGGTTTAGGGATTAAAAAGGGGCCCCAAATAATACCTACAATATTTTGGGGGTTCCTTTACATATTTCCAGTATAATGGGCCCCAAAACTATTAAGGGCCCTACATTACCCTATACCCTAAGCCCCAAACGTGAACGTGTTTCGGGTTTGGGATCTGGGGCTGGGTGCAGGGTTTGGAGTTCAGTGTCAAAGGGGTCTTCAAGACTGCGAGTAGCGTCTAGGGGTGCAGGGTTTGGTGGTTTAGGGTTTGCCTGGACCCTAGATAGCCTACCTTTTGTTATGGACATTTTTTTTATGTATACGCAAATCAGAATAGGGAACCCTATAAAAAAGGTCGGTTCTTCAAGGTCCAGGCAGGGTTTAGGGTTTAGGGTTGTATAGGTCGAGGGATGCCGGGTTTGGTAGTGTCGAGCTAGAGGCCCGTTGCAGTTCAGAGGTACCTTTCTGTGGGATCTTGGGATTCTTATGCTTCAGCGTTCGGTTCAGGGTCCTGGTCGAGATGTTATAGGGGCCAATACTATTCTAGGAGTTCCTCATTATACTTATAGTATAACATGCCCCTAAACCCTGTTCCAATTATAAAGTCCCCTATATGACTATACACGCTGACTTTTCAAGACGATGAAGCAGGACCTGATGTTCACATGCATGTTTTGCCCGCGCATCGGTGTCCACCCTGCTGCCCCTTTCTCCCAAAGCCCTTCACACCCCTAAACCCTAAACCCACAGATTAACATCTTAACCTGTAAGCTTTCTTTTGTCAAGCCTATCAAGTTTCGCGGTACGAAACAACAAGTCGTGGCAACAATGGCCCGCAATCAATGGCTCAGGTTCGAGGCAGTCATGTTGGCAGTGCAGGGTTGGTTTTACGACAAACCCTAAACGCTGAACCCTGCATCTAAGCCCCAAGCCGTAAATCTTTATCTCAAGCGCCATATCATGAACCTGTTTACACATACCACCCATACCACGTCTCCACTGAGGTGGGTTTCTGCAGACTTCCCTACATAGTCTTTGCCATACACCTAAACGACCTAAACCCTAAACTCTAAATCCTAAACCCTTAGCCTACCTAAAGCCCTGAACCCCAAAATCAAAGCCGTAATATTCAAGCCCAAAAAAATTAACTATGTTATTCTTAGGGTGCCTTATTAATATTTGTATCATAAAGGAGCCCAGAACCCTATTCTAATGACTAAGGCCCTTACATTAAAGCGCCTTCAGTGCTCCCCACTCCGGACACACCTGCTGCCAGGGGCTGCAATGCTGCAGCTTTCACCATTGGCTCGGAAATGTCCGGAGGGGCCGCTTCCTTGGCATTCTCTTTCGCTTCGTGGCGCACACCGGGCTCCAAAACTGGGGTGTATGATATAAACCCTAAACCCTAAACCCTAAACCCTAAACCCTAAACCATGGGAGTTCTGGTGCATTCCTTATTATGGGTACTGCAGGATTTAGATCATCAGCCCTAGGGTTTAGGGTGTAGTCTGCAAAACCAAATCATTGCGACGTCCCGGATCCTGGACTTCGGGTTTAGGGTTTCGAAGGTTTAGGGAGGGGCTTAACTTGGGATTACTGGTAGGGTGCAAGATGTCGGGGCTTGCAGCCTCTACATATCTATATTAATATATATATATATATGTGTGTGTATATTTATATATATATATATATATTTATTTATTTATTTACTTATTTATTTATTTATTCATTTTTCTATATCTGTATATATATATATATATGGGTTTAGGGTTGGAGAGTTTAGGATGGCTTTCCGATGTTCGTTTGTGGACGAAGGGAGCACAGTGAAGCCCGACGACTTCGGGACAGTGTGTCCGTTGCTTCAGGAAGGTGCCAAGAGTTTGGGTTTAGGGTTTAGGGCTTGGCATCTATATCCCAGATGCCTAAACTAAACCCTCACACCAAACCGTCATCTCTTGTTCGACCATTACGACACGAACAGCTGCTCCCCTGGGCAGCCCTTTCTGCGCGTGGAAAAGAACGTATTTTCGCATGCCTATATCAGGAGATTCTACTCGTTAGTTTTTTCAGTTCTGCACCTCTCAAAGTCCAGGGAATTATCGCAGCAGTCAGTTAAGTCATGCTCCTCACTTGCCAGGCTATTGATGGTGGATTTCTGACGTCCTTTTGAGGTCTTCCAACGAAATGCATGGGCCGTGCCGGGGCGGTCGTAAGATGCCACCATGACCCCAGAGAGCCAAATACCCCTTAATTACGGAATATAGCTTAAATCATCATATGAAGCCTCGTATAGTTTATGGCATACTTCTTCATTAAGGGCTTTTGGGCTCTCTGGGACAATTATGCAGCAAGCGAGACGAGCTTCCGCGACAGCAGCACATGCACGCTCCTTCCCTTCGTGGGGAGTTTTGCAGTCGCGCTAGGCAGAGGCAGAGACATCGCCTGGTACTGACGCTGTGGTCGGGTGAGTTGCAGAGGCATCGAGAAGGCCAAGCTGATTGATTTCGCACATGATGTTCAGAAAACAGGCAGATGAACTCAAAGAAAAACAAGGACGCTCAGTGAGATAGCCCAAAGTGAAGTATTCCGAGATTTGAGAAGCCACGAATTATCGATGTCGCTCCAAGCCAGGATGCATTGCAGCAGCACTGGAGTTCAATGAAAAGAACAGTGGCTGAACTGCCATGTCGTTTGGTCGTCCAGGAAGGATTGTGGCTATCTGGCGTTACAGCTGAAAGAAGCATGGTGCATATACCTGGCTTTTCCTTCCTGGACGTAAGCAAAGGTAAAAGATCCTGGAGACGTTGAGCCCTGAACCCTAAACCCCTAAACCCAAAACCCCTAAGCTCTAAACCCCTAAACCCTCAACCCCTAAGCACTAAACCCTAAACCCTTTTCCCTAAACCCTAAACCCCTAAGCCCTAAACCCTAAACCCCTAAACCCTGAACCCAAAACCCTTAAACCCTTATCGGCAGCTGAAGCCTCTTTGCTCCAATGATTCATCTGAGTCGGCATTGTTGGGTTTTCAAGTCGAACCCAAGCCTCGTGCGGCCTTCAAACGCGAGAATCTGGCGCAAAACGCAAAACTCCGCACCCGAAATATTGAGTTTGCTTTCATTTCATTGAAGTCTAACCACAAACCCTAAACCCTAGACTCTATGAGCTCTGCTTTCATTTCATCGAAGTCTAACCCTAAAC